TTCGAGGGCTGTGAGAGGCGTGGATTTTTAAAGAATATTTTTTCGAGGGCTATAAGAGGCGTGGATTTTTTTAAGAATATTTTTTGGAGGGCTATAAGAGGCGTGGATTTTTTAAAGAATATTTTTTCGAGGGCTGTGAGAGGCGTGGATTTTTAAAGAATATTTTTTCGAGGGCTATGAGAGGCGTGGATTTTTAAAGAATATTTTTTCGAGGGCTATGAGAGGCGTGGATTTTCTAAAGAATTTTTTTTCGAGGGCTATGAGAGGCGTGGATTTTTAAAGAATATTTTTTCGAGGGCTATAAGAGGCGTGGATTTTTAAAGAATATTTTTTCGAGGGCTATGAGAGGCGTGGATTTTTAAAAGAATATTTTTTTCAAGGCCTATATAATGAGTGGATTTTTAAAAGAATATTTTTCCAAGGCCTATATAAGGCGTGGGTTTTTATACCCTACACAACTATGTTGTCAGGGTATTACAGCTTTGAGCAGCCCCAAGAGTTTGTAACGCCGCGAAATATTGGTCCTAGACCCACCTTTAAGTATACCGTCCGTCCGTCTATCCATTCTAGTTTGTAAACACTATACAGGCCACAGTTATGGACCAATCTCCACGAAATTTTGCATGAAGGATGGATTCTGGCCAATGAAGACCGGTTAATATTTAGGGGATGAAATGGACCAAATACTTAATTTTTGTCTGTCTTTCTGGTCGCTCCAGAGGCCGCAATTCTGACCCGAGAAGTTGATAGTATATCCAAGGGGAGTGGTTCACCTTTAAATTGATACCAATTATATTGTTGTATGTGCTCGGATGTGGGAGTTACACCTAAATATTCACAGGTATCTCCGTATTCCTATATTATTTAGTAACCCATTATCACTCTAGAGAGCGGAACTATAGCACTGATCGCTTTGAAATGTTTCATGAGGTTCCAGTTATGGTCAAGGACAACGCCTATAATTTTCGGTGATGATCAGATAATAATTTTGGAATGAATTGGAGCAAAAACTTAATTTTTTTTTGTGTTATTTTCGGGTCGATCTATAGACCATAAATGAAAGCCGAACATCACAACACAACCCACGGTGAGGGAATCTGGACAATAGCTGTACTGAATACTCGTGAGGAAGAGGAGCTGCTTACCTCTAATCGGGCAAGAGGGTGCAAAAATCACGAAATATTGCCCAGGCTCAGAATAAACATTCGCAGAATTGTGTAGGGTATCGTATGGTCGGCCCCGTCCGACTATACTGCTCCGCTCACTGGTTAAAGATTAATTTTCAAATATTTAATCTTCCTTAAAACATATCAGCTTCTTTAAACATTATCGTCCATATTCCATTAATTCACATTTGTGTATTCCTTTTTATATGTGTGTGTGTTCGATATGAATGATATTTCACTTCCTTATCAGAAAATAAAACAAAGAAAAACAACTATCGATCAAATAACATTACCATGACTACTGAACTTCGAACAGTTATTCAGGAAAATACCCAAGAAGAAGCAGGGACGAAGTCCACTGAATTTTAAATGCAAAAAAAAAAAAAAAAATATGAGGATAAAGTAATGATTTTAATACGTGAGGGGGTTAAGCATATCATTCAGGAGCAAAAAAAAAAACAAAGAACATTACTCCCAAAAGTTCTTCCATTATTGTTGTATTTTGTTTGTTGTGATTTTTCTTTTTCTCCTTCATTTTGTGGTAATTTGTATGAAACATGCAAAACGATACTCCTTCATTCACATAATATGGGGGAATATGACAAAAGGCGAATGAAAAACCGAACATGGTATTTTTTTGTTAATGTTCGGTGGGCGTGCGGGTGTGTATGTGTCTGGGTTTTTAACATCAATACATTGAACTTTGTCAGTTCCATATATGATAGGACAAATGAAGTTTTTTATGTAGCAAAAAAATGAAAAAAATTGCAAACGATGTGAAACCATATTGCAGTTTCATACAGCCATCCATCCATTGAGCCATTCATTATTCATTCCTGGTACCATAACCATTCATTTATGCTACCATGGAACCTGCAGCTCGAAGGTAATGCATTCGAATTTATCTGATGTTTACATACGGCATGCAATGCCATGCCATCGAATTTTATGCGAATTGTAAGTGTGTGGGAGGGAGATACATATATAAATACGCCTTATAGTAGGCCCCTAAAAATATTCTTTATATAATCCAGGCCTTATGGCAGGGCCCTAAAAATATTCTTTAAATAATCCAGGCCTTATGGTAGCCCGTTAAAAATATTCTTTAAATAATCCAGGCCTTATGGTAGCCCGTTAAAAATATTCTTTAAATAATCCAGGCCTTATGGTAGCCCGTTAAAAATATTCTTTAAATAATCCAGGCCTTATGGTAGCCCGTTAAAAATATTCTTTAAATAATCCAGGCCTTATGGTAGGTCTCTAAAAATATTCTTTAAATAATCCACGCCTTATGGTAGCCCGTTAAAAATATTCTTTAAAAAATCCACGCCTTATGGTAGGCCCTTAAAAATATTCTTTAAAAAATCCACGCCTTATGGTAGGCCCTTAAAAATATTCTTTAAAAAATCCACGCCTTATGGTAGGCCCTTAAAAATATTCTTTAAAAAATCCACGCCTTATTGTGGTAGGCCTCTAAAAATATTCTTTAAAAAATCCACGCCTTATTGTGGTAGGCCTCTAAAAATATTCTTTAAAAAATCCACGCCTTATTGTGGTAGGCCTCTAAAAATATTCTTTAAAAAATCCACGCCTTATGGTAGGCAACACAATTTAAAATATTCTTTAAAAAATCCACGCCTTATGGTAGGCAACACAATTTAAAATATTCTCTAAATAATCCACGCCTTATGGTAGGCCCTTAAAAATATTTTAAAGGGATTTTAAAGCATATTTTAAGGCTCGTATTTTTTAATCCAATTTTAAATCTCCATATAAAATATATTTATTTATTTTTTTACCTCTTAATTAATTTATCTGTTATACGATTATGCTAAAAGACTTCCGGCTTATGTTTCCGAATGTGTGTGTGTGTCTCATCTCATATTTCTCCCTCTCTCTCTGTTTTTCTCTACAGGAATGGAACGACATGAATTTACGTTGGAACACATCAGACTATGGCGGCATCAAAGATTTACGCATACCGCCACATCGGATATGGAAGCCGGATGTGCTGATGTACAACAGTGCCGATGAGGGTTTCGATGGTACATATCAAACGAATGTTGTGGTACGGAATAACGGTTCATGTCTCTATGTGCCACCGGGCATATTTAAGTCGACATGCAAAATCGACATAACATGGTTTCCGTTCGACGATCAGCGATGCGAAATGAAATTTGGCAGTTGGACATATGATGGATTTCAGGTTTGGCAAAAGCAAAATAGCAAAAAACAAAGAGACGTTGAAACAAAAAAAAAATATCCCAGAAAAAAATAAAAAATATACAAAAAAATAAAAAAAAAATACTGGGATATGTAAAGACTCTGCAGGGAGTACAGTAGTACTTCGTGGTCCTGATTTTTTGTTTAATGTTTTTTTTTTAATTTTGAATTTTTAAGATTATTTTGAAATGAATTTATTTAAGATTTAAAAGCAATTCAGTTCCATCTCCTAACATATTTTTGAGGTCTATCAAGAGGCGTGGTTTTTTAAAAAAATATATTTGGAAAAATCTAAAATATTCTTTAAATAATCCAAACCATTAATAGAACCTCAAAAAAATTCTTTAAATAATCTGAGCCTTGTGTAGACCCTCAAAGCATTTCTTTAAATAATTCAAACCATTAATAGACCCTCAAAAAATGTCTATAAATTATCTAAGCCTTGTGTATACCCTCTAAAAATATCTTTATGTAATGATAATGATTAATAGACCCTCTGAACCTCTACCTCTAAAAAATTTTCTTTAACAAATCCACGCCTTGTGGAGACCTCTAAAAAATGTTCTTTAACAAATCCACGCCTTGTGGAGACCTCTAAAAAATGTTCTTTAACAAATCCACGCCTTGTGGAGACCTCTAAAAAATGTTCTTTAACAAATCCACGCCTTGTGGAGACCTCTAAAAAATGTTCTTTAACAAATCCACGCCTTGTGGAGACCTCTAAAAAATGTTCTTTAACAAATCCACGCCTTGTGGAGACCTCTAAAAAATGTTCTTTAACAAATCCACGCCTTGTGGAGACCTCTAAAAAATGTTCTTTAACAAATCCACGCCTTGTGGAGACCTCTAAAAAATGTTCTTTAACAAATCCACGCCTTGTGGAGACCTCTAAAAAATGTTCTTTAACTAAAATCCACGCCTTGTGGAGACCTCTAAAAAATGTTCTTTAACAAATCCACGCCTTGTGGAGACCTCTAAAAAATGTTCTTTAAGAAATCCACGCTTTGTGGAGACCTCTAAGAAATGTTCTTTAATAAATCCACGCCTTGTGGAGACCTCTAAGAAATGTTCTTTAATAAATCCACGCCTTGTGGAGACCTCTAAAAAATGTTCTTTAACAAATCCACGCCTTGTGGAGACCTCTAAAAAATGTTCTTTAACAAATCCACGCCTTGTGGAGACCTCTAAAAAATGTTCTTTAACAAATCCACGCCTTGTGGAGACCTCTAAAAAATGTTCTTTAACAAATCCACGCCTTGTGGAGACCTCTAAAAAATGTTCTTTAACAAATCCACGCCTTGTGGAGACCTCTAAAAAATGTTCTTTAACAAAACCACGCCTTGTGGAGACCTCTAAAAAATGTTCTTTAACAAATCCACGCCTTGTGGAGACCTCTAAAAAATGTTCTTTAGCAAATCCACGCCTTGTGGAGACCTCTAAAAACTGTTCTTTAACAAATCCACGCCTTGTGGATACCTCTAAAAAATGTTCTTTAACCTTCAAAAAAAAATTATTGAAAAAATTCACTCCTTCTTCTATTTAAAAAATCAACGCCTTGTGGAGACCTCTAAAAATATTTTTAAAAAAATCCACATTTTGAATGGAGCTGAATTGCCTTTCCTAATTTTCTTTAAATATTTTTCCTCTTCTGTTTTTATTTTCATTTAATTTTTAGTTTCAAATATGTGTATTTAATTTTTTGATTATTAAAATTCAAAAAACAATTGTTTTGATCAACTCATCTCAACTGTGTCCGTTTCGACAGCTGGATTTACAATTACAAGATGAAACTGGCGGTGATATCAGCAGTTACGTGCTCAACGGCGAGTGGGAACTACTGGGTGAGTAGGTTATCTTTGTTTGTTTGCGTTATGCTGGCACCCCACCCACACTGCAGGAAACAATTCCTGAGGGTGGGAGAGGGCAGTATACGCAGTCCCTCAAAAAAAAGTAAAAGAAAAATCTCCCTTTAAAAAAACCGAAACCAAATTCAAAATGAATCATGGTCACCACAGCCATCATCACTACCACTACTACTACTACAGCTAAAAACTAATACTGCTACTCCTATTATAACCACCTTAACTTCCATTCTAATACATCTATACTCGTATATAGCGATAGTTGTACTTCATGTACCATGTCATAACCACCATTACCACTACAACAACCATGTCATACAAAAATACTCTGAAATGGAACACACAAAAACTCCTTCGTAGCAGACCTACAAAAAATCTGATTTTTTTTTTTGGTTTTCTTTGAGTGTATGTGTGTTTCCGTTTCCCCATTTGCAAACAAAGAGAAAATGCTCCCTCTAAAAAACCGAAACAATTGTAAGAAACTCCGAAAAAAAAACTTGAAACAAATTACAATCCTTAGAGAGAATGTGGTGTCCTTAGTTGCCAAATGTAGTCCTTCCCATAACAAAAACCTTCAAGACAAACGTCCATCAAAAATAAAAAAATCTAAACTGTAGTGTCCCCACACACACGTTAACGTTTCCCCATATAGATGTGTGAGTGTATGTGTTATATGAGAAAAAAACTATAGAAATTAAAAAATGAAATAAAAATATTTACAGTGGAACGTGGTTATAATGAATTATTAAAAAATATTAATTTTATATATATATATATATATAAATCAATAGACATATTTATAAAAAATATAAACATTTTTATAATTAAAAAACAAAAATATATTTTTTGTTTTCATTATAACCACCTTCCACTGTTTTGAATCATAAACATAAATGTTCTGCAATGGTTGTTATTATTGCTGTTGTTATTGTATTATTATTGTTGTTTATATTAAATGTTAGTCTGTTAATACACATATACATATTAATGTTGCTTTTAAATGTGTAGATGTGACCGAGTATAGAGATTGATTTACACCTAGACAACGGTTACATACACCATGTTAAATTACACCAATGTTAATTATAGAGCAGAGAACACAACTTATCATTTTTTGCAAACAAATAGAAAAAAAATAAAAAAAATACAAAAATTTTAAAAGATTCTAATTGAAGGGAATTTTGAGAAATATTTTTAAATGGTCCAAAATTGTGGGTAGATTTAAAGAAAAAATACATATTTTTAAAGGATACAAAATTGTGAGTGAAATTTTGAAAATATTTTTAAAAGCTTAATCCAAAAGGATGTGTGAATTGAAAATTAAGTATGCAAAATATGGATGAAAAGAAAGAAATATAAACATTTTTAAAGCATTTTTGAAAATACTTTTTTAATGATTCCAAATGTTGGTTGAATTGTAAAAACAAAAAAAAAAAAATGGTGGTAACACGACATTTGGCAGAGGGTATTAAATTGAATATAGTGTTTACAAAAACAAATGTATGCAGTGTATGCAACGGTAACTCAATTAAGTCCATGTGTTTATATATAGCTCCCATACATAATTTGACTTGACTTCATACAAATGGTACACCAAAGGATCCAAGTCTGTCCGTTTGACATGCAATTTTTCATTGATTTCAGAATGGTATGTATATGGGGTTTTTCAATTGGTTCGCCTGATTAATGGCATCTTAATGGTCCTCCAAAGATCCTATGACCGTTTTATCTACAGGATATTGTAGATATTAACATGTCTTGCATGTACCCAAAGTGGTGAAGGGTATCATATAGTCGGCCCCGTCCGACTTTTATTACTTTATTTATGTACAGTAATGATAACTTATAAAGGCAACAAGTCAATTTTTTTTAGAAATTCAGATATTGATACAGTTATGTATAATAAGGCAAAATACATCGATTAAAAAAAAAATAAAATACAGTTATCGTATTTTTATTGTTGTTTTGTATTGATGGGTAAAGGCGCTGTGTTCAATTCATGACATGTCACTGAATTAACATCATGTAAAGGCCCTAAGTCCACTTTTTATTTTGAGGATTTTGGACACGATTTTCAGCCGAATTGACCTAATTTGGTATTTTAGGTACTTATACTTAGGCAATTATCAATATTAGTCCACTGTTTTAGGGTACCCCCATATATGTTTGGAATTTTGGAAGATTTGGACAGTGTTTTCAAACGAATTGGCTGTAATTTTATATATGGGACTCTCATTGGGTACAACATCTCCCCACCAAAATTATCGTTATTGTCCCAAGTTTCGGAGTAGCTCTCATAGTACGTTATCCCCCCATTATTATAATTTGTAAACACGATACAGGCCACAGTGGTGGACCATTGAATATCCCTATTGTTTTTGGTAATGATCGGTTAATATTTAGGCTTCAGAGGCCCCAATTATGACCCGAACACCGCGAAATTTTATACAGAGAGAAGAAACGGACCATATAATAAGCATAATAGATTTGGTGAACATCGGTATATTTACTTCTGAAGGACATGGATCCTAGAAGTTGATAGTATATCGAAGAGCGGTGGTTGACCTTTAAATTGATACCAATTATATGGTTGTATGTACTGTGATGTGGTAGTTATCAGATTTTATAGTTGCTCTAGAGGTCATTATTATACGCAGAACATCACATGTTTAACACGGTGAAGGGGATCTGAACAAATACTTTGAACGCCTGTTTCGATGATGATCGGTCAATATTCCGAGGTCAAATCAATCAAACCTAGGATAACAAACATGTTGTTTTATGGCGGAAAACAAGAGTTGGAAAATATGCCAGGGTCAAGATAATGCAAATATCGTGAAATAATGCCGGAGTATAGATCCGCAATAACTTAGACTTCAGTGGTTGTTGTGTAGGGAACAACTCACTGGTTATTCATATTTTTAAATAAATTATGATTTCAAACAAACCTTCACTCTTTTAAATAAAGTTAGTATGTAAAAAATATAATATATAAGAAACAAGTTGTAAGAAAAACTCCTAAATCAATGAAAACAGAAAAGTCTCGAAGTCCCAAAAAAGCGTGTATCGTGTAATTTTTTTTCCATTTTACCTTTACGCAAATAAAATACAAAAACAAATTGCATTTACCGATTTAAAACATTTTTATTCAAAAGAAAGTTTGTATCTGATGAAAAATTGTTAAATAGGGACCTAATGGATTTACAAGTTAAGCCAGCGATATATAACCGAATTATCTTGACCCATTAAGTATCAATCGAGCTTTATCAAAACAGCCAAAAATTTCCCCTGTAAATTTTGTTAGTGCTCGGGTCTTAATTGTGGTCATGGATCAATATTTCATCTCACATTCCGAAACGCCCAATTAGTTTGTCTAAAAAATCTACGTACCCAAATTGAAGGTTAATTAAAATCAACAAGGCTAGATTAAAATTTTACTTTTTGTTTGAACTGCATGCTAACTATTCATACCGCTGCCTATTTTAAAATTCAATGTTCAACTTTAATTAAAATTATTGACTGCCAATAATAAATACATGATTTCCACATCCACGTATGATTGATATTAATTTTAATTTATTGATTCAGTGGAGCGTATGATTGTTATATTGGGTAATATTTGTACAATTTCCGAACGTATACGCCACATACTCAATGTTGCCAACAACAAAGCTCATTTAAAACTATTGTAAATCATAAATAAATATTAGAAATTTTTAGAAGCTTCGAAATATTTATTTAAACTTTTATAATTTTTATAAAACATTTCGCAAAAGGTTGCGCTGTCAAAAGTTTCCATTTAAAAGTTATTCACGCCTCACTTAATCAGATTAGAGGAGAAGTTTTTGTTGTTTGTTGTACAACAAATTTGTTAGTTGTGATTGTTGTTGTTATTGTTCCTAGACAACTCTTTCGACAAATAATAGTTTAGACAAATTATTACATAGTAGTGTAAATTCCAATGAGATTCTGTGTGACTGTGTGTGTGTCCTTTGTGTGCATATGTCTATGGGTGCGGGTGTTGATATGCCCCTGACTAACTTTATCAAAACTTTAAATATGCTGTTTTTGTTTAATCCCATATGGTATCGTAAAAATAATATACATATTCAACATTGATATATTTATGTGTGTGGAGGATGAGGTATCCCTCTTCCTCCTAACATTCCGAATTTCTAATTCATACCTGTCACTAACAGCAGAGGAAGAAACGCACACACACAGACGTATCCACAAACTACCTTTTTGCTTGGCTAGTTCATAAATTATTCTCAGTCAGACCCTCCCCTTTCCCTACCCCTCTCCCTGATGTTGAAATTATATACTCTCCTCTTCATTGAAGACTTGCGGGAAAAAACATTTATCTTTTTAACTTTTATTTCGGATGAATATCTCCTTTTTTCTGGGAATATTTAATACCACATTATTGGTATTTGCTGCTGCTGCTGCCGGCGACTTCGTCTCTTGGCCAGGTTTGGTGGAGAGGTAGGTTAGGGATCCTTTAGTTTTCCCATAGTCTTTCGTAGTTTGATGTTCGATTTGCCCAGCCATTCATTTAAAGGTGTGAATTCAATGGTTAGTTGATATTAAATCGATTTTGGTTTTGGGTTTTCTGTGTTCTTTTCTTTTTTTGGGTTAGACATTTTAGTTTAAGTGGTGGAGGGGTGGCAAGGGAAAGGCCAGGACTTTTTCACTTTGTGATTTATGGTATGGTAATCATCAATTTGAGGTTTTCGATGAGGCAGTTTTATTTAAAGAGCATTCAATGTTATCGACTGGATATAAAATACAAAAGGACATGGGAGAATAAGTTTAAATAAAATACTTTTGGAGGACATAGATATATTGGATATTTTTCAAAGAATTTAAAATATTTTTTGGGGTATATTTAAGGCATGGATTTTTTAAAATATTTTTTTACGGACTAATCACAGGCACATATTCAGGTTTTATAGAAGGCATGAATTTTTTTAAGATATTTTAGCTTAGTGCAGCCCCAGGGGTTTCTAACGCCGCGAAATATTGATCCCAGGCCCACCTTTAAGTATACCGATATCTCGACTAGCTGAGTCGATCTAGAAATGTGTGTCCGTCCGTCCTTCCGTCTGTCCATTATAATTTGTAAACACGATACAGACCACAGTTATGGACCAATCTTCACAAAATTTAGCATGTAGGATTGGTTGTGGCCAATGAAGACCCTATTGTTTTTGGAAAATATCGGTCAATATTTAGGTGATAAAATGGACCAAATATTTAATTTTTGTCGGTTTTCCGGTTGAATTTTTACATGGAGAAGGGTATCGGGCCAAAGAATAAGCATGGCTGTTTTCATAAAGATAGCGGGTCAAATGAACCCTGACTTTTGTGTGAAAATTTTCAAAATGTCTATTCTATGGCGTATATATTTACCCCTGAAGGACATAGGCTCGAGAATTTGATAATATATCCAAGAGGAGTGATTGGCTTTTAAATTGATACCACTTAAATTGTCGTGTGTACTCTGATATGGGATTTACACGTAAATATTTTCAGGAGCTAACGTATTCATATATTATTTAAAAATCCGCAGAGTGTTAGGGTTCCGTGTTAGTTGTGTGGGGTATCGTATGGTCGGCTCCGTCCGACTATACTGCTCTGCTCACTGTTTTTCTTTAATATTTTTCAAAGTTCTATATAAATCAGGAATTTTAGGTAAAATTGTTTTCCATAGTAATTGTTTCACATAGTAATGAGATTTTGTCTAGTGCTGGCCTTTTTTCATGCAGAATCAAGGTATACCACATTACCTACACTTGTGTTTACTGAAGAAATGTCTAGTTTTTTTTTTCAAATTGGTGATTTTGTGGTGCAATGATTTTGTGGTGCAATCATACTGATTATTTTAATGCTTTAGTAATAACGATTAAAGTACATCCGTAAAACAAAAAATTATTTTTAAACTTCAACCGAAAAAAAGTCAATTTCATGAAAAATTTTATTTTTGGTACTGATTCTCAACGTGTTTTAAATAAATTAAACAGGTCATTGCTATCTTATTTTTTTGAGAACAGCAAACTATAGAACATGTTTCAGTTATTCTAAAATTTTCAGTTTACAAAAAAGTGACTATACCACATTACCAACCTATACCACATTTGCATCACTTCCACTATACCCTGCATAATTTTCTGAATGTTGAAAAACCTATCCCCTTTTTCAATCTAAATTTCTTTAGTTTGATATTTGTTCTTCCAACATAAACAATCTTCTAGTAGAAAATTTTAAAATAGTAAATTTGCAACAAATGAAGTTTCCGACATTAAAAAACCAGTAAGGAAAGTAGTAAAGTCGGGCGGGGCCGACTATATGATACCCTTCACCACTTTGGGTATATTCAACAGATAAACACTAACAGACGTCGCATTTTTAAAAGACCATTAAAATGAAATTGGATCCATAAACATGTCATTCTGCAACCGATCCTAAATTGTTCATATGGTTAGATATATAAGCTATATCTAAATCTGAACCTATTTCGGAAACTTAACACACATCATTTTAGACCTAATTCATTACGCTGTGACAAATTTCGTGCAAATCGAGAGATATTAACGGACTTTGGTGCACCATTTACATTAAACCGGACGAAAGTATATATGGGAGCTATATCTATATCTGAACCGATTTTCACGAAATTTAGCACACATCATTCTGGACGTAATTCAGTGCCCTATGCCAAATTTCATGCAAATCGAAAGATATATAGGGACTTTGGTGCCTCGTTTACTTTAAATCGGACGAAAATATATATGGGAACCATTTGTAAATCTGGAAAATCTGGATTTTCTTGAAACTTGACAGGCGTCATTCCAGACTGAATTCAGTACACTATGCAAAAATTCGAGCAAATCGAAAGATATATGGGGACGTTGGTGCAACATTTATACAAAATCGGACGAAAATATATATGGGAGCTATATCTATACCTGAACCAATTTTCTCGAAACTTGGCACACATCATTCTGGACCTAATTCAGTACTCAATGCCACATTTCGTTCAAATCGAAAGCAATATAGGGACTTTGGTGGCCCATTTACCTTAAATCGGACGAAAATATATATGGGAGCTATATCTAAATCTGAACCGATTTTCAAGAAATTATACACACATCAAGCTAGACCCAATTAACTACACCATACCAAGTTACGTGCAAATCGAAAGATATATAGGGACTTTAGTACAGCATTTACCTTAAATCGGACGAAAATATATATAGGCGCTATAGCTAAATCTGAACCGATTTTCGGGAAACTTAACACACATCATTCAAAACCTAATTCAGTGCGCTGTGCAAAAATCGAAGGATATATTGGGGTTTCGGTGCACTATTTACATTAAATCGGACGAAAATATATATGGGAGCTATATCTGAATCTAAACCGATTTTTCCCAATTCCCAATCAATAGGGTTCGTCCTTGGGCCAAACATGTGACCTATGCCAATTTTCATCCAATTCGGATCATAAATGCGACCTGTACTTTGTTTACAATTTAACATGGACAGACGGACAGACAGACGGACATGTATAAATCTACTTAAATAGTGATTCTATGCATATTCTCAAACGGAAACATGTGTCTATCTCGTTTCCTTTTGCGTGTTACAAACATATGCACAAAGACATAATACCCTGTACCACAGTGTGGTGAAGGGTATAAAAATGGGGTTATGTGGGGACTACTCCAAAAATAATTAATAACTTTTGGTGGAGAGATTTTGTACCATATACGACTAAAAACTACCAAATTGCAGCGAATTCGGTTGAAAAACGCGCTCCAGAATCCCGAAATACCGACATTTTGGGGTACCCATATATGGGGGCTACCCGAAAAAATAGACTTATGTTCATAATTTTTTAGAATGTACCGTTATATGGGGGCTACCAGAAAAAGTGGACTTATATTTAAAATTTTTGTGGAGACATTTAGTACTCAATAAGATCCCAATGTACCAAATATAATTGAATTCGGGTGAAAAACGCGCTCAAGAACCTTAAAATACCGAAAATTGGTGGGGGGTGGGTGTAAACTTATATGGGAGCTATGCGTAAACGTGGACCGATATATCTCATCTTCGAACTTAACCTGCCAGCAGACAAAAGACAACCCTATGCAAAATTTCAGCACCCTATCTCAATTCCTTCAGTATAAGGCCTAGTCCAGTTTTACAACCTGAGTGTCTGTATTTTGGTATTTCACTTGCTCCAGCAATTTATTTTAGCAAAGTCCCCACATAAAAGTAGCTATCGAAGTTCCAAAAAAGTAAAATCTATTCATTCTTTGATCAGTATTTTTTTTAGAATTTATACTAAATTGGCATTGAGTGTACCACGATGCGTATAAGTATTTTTAATTCCTAGGGTACTGGACGCGTATGATTACTAAAAATTAAAATTAGTATTTAAATAAAGTATACGCTGAACAATTTTGAAGTTATCTCTCATACAGAAAAATAAGAAGAAATATTAAATAATTTTCCAGAATTTAAATTTCGTACCTTAAATTGAATAAAAAGATTAAAATAATTCTTAGAAATTAAAACTATTTTATATATTTTTGATTGAGTGTGAGGAAAATTTGCACTGGGTGTACCACGATGCGTATAAGCATTTTTAATTCCTAGGGTACTGGGGGGTTTTTGATTATTAT